CAGGTGGCATCCTATGACAGTTCCACGCTGGAATTCACTGAGCTCCTGAGAGCGGCCCATTCTTTCACAAATGTTTGTAAAAACAGTCTGCATGCCTAAGTGCTTGATTTTATACACCTGTGGCCAGGCCAAGTGATTAGGACACCTGATTCTGATCATTTGGATGGGTGACCGAATACTTTTGGTAATATATATATATTTGATTTGGTGCTCTCAACTGTGTTAGCAGCACAACACAAGCTCTAAGCCTGCAATCGTTATTTCTGTTCCTCAAATTCTTTCTAGTTTTTTGGAGAAAGTCCACCATCGTTTTCCACATGTTTTTCGCTGCATTGAGTTTCCTGTAGGCTTTGGCACACATTTCGCAGGATGCTGGGCTGACTGGCACTGCCTCGCAGGTATTGTGAATTGTGAGCAAATTTACAATGCAGGCTGCACAATGCACCCTAGGAAATACGGTCATATTCGTGAGAAGTATTCATTCCAACCTGCAATGATATGAAATGATCCTCTGGCTTAATGGCAAGCATTTATGAGTGACATAATATAGAACGAGGAAAACCACGCATAAAGGGGTTTGAATCATAATAATGCATTATGTTCTGTGGTTCTCCATTTAGTTCCCTTGAAATGACTGCAATACGGCCTCCTCAAAATTATGGCGGCCATAAATATTTCATCATGCATCCTGTGCAGTACCTCGGACTACCAAGCTCATACAAATGCTCCCTTTCGTAATCATCATAGGTGCAATTCCTTGACTTCTCCTGCCATAACACTAAACGACTATTAAAATGTATTTGCATGCAATGAAATAATTCTTGTATTTAAATAAATGCAAATCAATAAGTCAAAATATTATAGTGTCAAGACAAACAATATAACAAAAGGCTTGGTTACTGTCCACATCCTCTGACCTGGAAGTTTGCAGTTGATAACAGTTATACATTTCTACATTTAAAAAGAGTACAATAAAAAAAAGAAGCTGTGATAGTAATGTGAAACTAGTCTATCAGCTTACAGCTGCTCTTTATCAGCACGCCTCAGACCTGCCATGCAAGCGATATTCACACAGCTAACACGCTGCTCCATCCAGCACTGACAGGCAGTGGTCATTTTACCACTCATCACTGTCACTATGCTGCTCATAGTCATAGCCATGCTCCTTCATCACGCCCTGCAATCTGCCAGAAATGTGGGAGAGACATTTAAAAAAAAAATAAAATACATGACATCCTTCTTTGCATGCTAAGAGATGGCTAACAGACGTATTAGCACCTGCAAGCATGCGAGCTCGATTACCACACTATTACATATTTAGGATGCCCTTTTCATGCATGGACTCCCTCCTCACTCCATCTCATTTACTTGATCTCATCTGTAAAACTGCTGATTATGAGGGGTGTGTGTGTATGTGTGTGTGTTTTTATATCCTGGTGGGGACCAAATGTCCCCACAAGGATAGGAATATCTTTTTGGTTAGTCAGATTCAGGCTTGATTTATGTGTACCATAATAATAATTAGCTTCATTAATAATTATGTCAGTGGAAGGTCCTCACAAGGATAGTAAGACAAATGTGTGTGTGTGTGTGTGTGTGTGTGTGTGTGTGTGTGTGTGTGTGTGTGTGTGTGTGTGTGTGTGTTTGAGAGAGATAGCATCTCTTGGACAGTTTTCATGTGAAAATATGCATGTGAATGCACTGATTTTTTTTTTTTTCCAGCCAGTACTCCTAATGAATGTCACCAATCAAACTGTCACCACTCAGTGCCACAGTCGAGTTATTCCACATGCATAGATCCTCACTCCATTTTCAATATGAGAAGCTCTCCTATTGGTTTGCTTGACCCATCAAAAACTGCTAGAGCCAGAAGTGCTGAGCATCCGCAATCAGATCAGATAAGATGAAGTGAAGGATCTGCAAAGGCAGGGTTCAAGCCTATACACACAGTAATGACAACATTTATAATCTGTGTGCTGCCATTACACGCCAACAGAATGCTTCGGTACAATATATTCTTTAGGAGGTCTTTGAATAATTTCAGAAATATGGGTGTAAGTATAAACATACATTATATGGCCAAAAGATTGTGGATACTTGAGCATACTACTCATATGTGTTTGTTGAACATCCAATTCCTGATTTAGTCCGCACTTTGCTGTTATAATAACCTCCACTCTTCTGGGAAGGCTTTCCACTAGATTTTGGAGTGTGGCTGTGGGGATTTGTGCTCATTCAGCTACAAGAGCCTTAGTGAGGTCAGGTATTGATGTTGGGCAAGGAGGCCTGGCATGTAACCTGCATCCCAGTTCATCCCAAAGGTGTTCGGGGGGGTTGAGGTCAGGGCTCTGTGCAGGCCACTACAGTTCTTCTATTCCAACCTTGGCAAACCATGTCTTCATGGAGCTCACTTTGTGCACAGGGGCATTATCATGTTGGAACAGCTTTTGGCCATATAGTGTATGTCTATATTGAAAAAAAGCTATAAGAAACAATATATCATTAGGATTTGTATTTTTACATGTTTTCCCTGACATTAAGTCAACATGCAACTATACTGTATTTCTGAAAAGTCAGGAACCAATGAGAGTAAAACTACATATAGTTAATTTTGTATTTATTATTTATAATGTATGCTCTACATGTTCACCCTTACGCTCTACCCATTTTCTCAACCGCTATATCATGTTTTTTGCAAATTTGGCTCAACATTTCCAGATCAACATATTTTTTCAACATATTCCCATCGGTTCCCGAATTTTCTGACATCCTGTATAACTCTACATGCTGATTCTTGGCCAGGCCATTAGCTTCCCTGTTAAGCTCGGCTTTTGCATTGAAGGCTTTGCAGGTTTAGTGAAAATGCCAATCCTGGTCTCCATAAATAGAGGAGAACTGACATCAACTGACCAAGCAATCAAAAGAACACTGTAGCAGAAACAATTAAAAAAAACTGGCTGTAACTCTACAACTGCAAAATTTGTAACATGAGCCATGTAGCAAATCTTTTGTTACAGCTTGTCCAATCACACGTATGTAAATTTTATGTAAAAGATTTATCTTAAGGGAGCTCATTGTGAAAGGAAAGAGTTTTCACAGACCTTCATTTTTTTGTTCTATTTACCCTCTTTGAAGATACCACAAGGAAAAAATTCAACTATGAAAACAGGGTCAAGTTTCCCAAAAGCACACAAAGGTCATTGTTAAATGGTAGAGTGAGCATCACACTGAACACTCTCTCGCTTAGCTAAGATGATGTTAACTTCACAATGTTTTTGGGACACTCAGTCCTGAATGTTTTAAGGCAACTCGACCGAGAAGTATGCGTTTATTCTCCGGTGCAAGCCTGTGGTGTTTCTCATAAGTGGTAGCAAAACATAACCATCATAAATTGAGGCATCATATTCGTAGTCATAAGCATAAGCATAAAAAGGTAACCGTTGTCGCCATTCAGTCATGTTCAGTCACTACTCATCTAACCCTCTGTAGGCAAGAACTTTATGTAGCTGGACATTTATGACCTCTTGGATTTAAGTTTCACTTTTAATGGACAAGTTGTCCCTGGGTCCAATGATCATTTCAGATTTTGCATTTAATAATTCATTGCATTATTAGGAATGAGTTGACATTTACCAAATTAATTAAGTCTGAAACATGATACCAGAATAAAACGTGTATTTTTCAACACCATTTTAGTAAGAAGGAAGAGCAGAGCAGTCGCATCTCAGCCACTGTTTGTAGTGCCTCCTTGGTCACGATGGAGATAACCAGCTCTGGCAGGGAGGCAAGCCAGCAATGATTTGCCAGTAAACAAACACGAGCCTATGAGCGCAGCCTTCACTGCATGATGCAAAGCGAAATCCTTCGCCTTGGCTAATAAATATACACACATGCTGCTATCAACGCGTGCACATGTGGGAAACTAAATATAGAATGCCTTCAAATGAGGGCTTTGTGGTGTGTTTGGGACTGTGCACCAGGAAGAAGCAATAGGAAAATGAAACAATCTTGGGCAATTTGATTTCCTTTTAATAATCTAGCCACTATATGGCTAGCTCCAGGGTAAAATCAGGGTTTGGATGATCTTATGGAGACAGGACTCACCTGTGGTAATAGGAGACAGAGGTTGGTCTTTTAATATAACTCTAACCCACAACACATGAGCATATACACTATACTCACTGTCTGCGTGGGGCATCTGTGAGCAAAATAAAGCAACGCTGAAATTACCTATACTGATAGAGGTCAAAAAGAAGACGTGTTTGTGGTAAATCAAACATATATATATCTACACTGCTTTTAGTAAGCATGCAGATAGTAAATGCCAGAGAAGGACACAAGACTAAATGCCATGCAGTCTTGTGGTGTGGCTTTTCATTTGCAAAGTGGACACTCAGTGGCACAGAGCAAACGCCACAAGATGCTGGCACAGGCCACTGAAGCTACACACACACATACACACACACACAACTGATCACTGTGCCTACCCACAATTGGGCTTAGAGCCATGACGTCAAAGAAGATATTTTTGGAATGACGCACACAAGTCCCCCCCCAGCTTGGCACCAAATCGTTTTAGCTGCATGGCTGAAATTCCTTCCTACCCCCGCATCCCACCAAAATG